CCCCAAAACCCCAAAACCCCAAAACCCCTTAAGTTCGGAAAGATCGTGAATATTAAAATATTTAAAAATGGAGACAAAGTCCTTAATGTAAGCACTATACAATGTCATCCTCCTCTTTTTACAACATTATTACCAAAGTATAATTTCTTATAATATAGAGAGACGTTGAGTGAAACATTTCATCAACTTGCTGAAAAATTAAAACTCGAAAGATCTCAAGAAATTTCAGATGACCCCAAATTTCAGATAATTTACGAAGAAAAGCAACTAATGAATATAAGAGAGAACTGGAAAGTTCTGTCATATTTCATGAGAATCTTCTTGTTTCTTATTATAATTGTTCTGGGTCTTACGAGCAAGAACTCTTCCATATTTATGATTAGGACCACAATGCTGGTGACTGTCATCCTCTTCCTTTCAGTCTTCCAAGGAATCGTTGAAAAGTCTGAAATGGCTGCAAAGTACTCAGGAACAATTTTATCAATAATTGTGATCTTTGGAATAACAGAAATCAATGTAAACTTAGGACAATATAGGTGAGTTTTTGAATCATGGATTTTAAAATTTATAACTATCAAAAATAAAAAGAAGACTTTTCTCAGTTAAAGTAGAATCACCTTTAAATTTAGAATAGTGAATTATCTAATATAATCGGTCCCAAGATAGTCTTCAATAAAGTTTTCAGCAGATCTTATAAAGAGCCTAAGTTAAAAATTGGCTGTAATGATCACCATGCTAAAATTTCAATAAAACTATATGGCCTTATTAAAACTCCAAAGTGTGAGTAAAATGATCCTTTTGAGGATAACAAGATAGAGGCAATTTAGGGTTAGAAGCCTAATAATATCTTAGGAAATATTCTTTGAACTGTTTTCGTATTTTTAGATATCTAAAAATTTTAGAAATCACCTATAGACACATTTTGTATGCAAGCTTCCATTTTTAATAAAATTTCTTATATTATTCTAATAAGACCAATTTGAAAGCATTGAAAATGTTTCGGAACTTTGAGAACGGATGATGATTCTTTGACAGATTTTGAGGCAAAAGATTATCATTCAATGTTTTATCCTTCTCTGTTAATATTCCTATTTATTTATTAAACTCTTTAAATTCTTGTCAATAATTTTCATCGAAGATAAGAAGCCTGGAAAGTCCATAGATTAAAATTCGTTCAATTTCAAAAATTTTCATCACATATCTTTGATTAAACTTGTTGCAAAGTTGAGTGCTTTATTAAAATATCATCAATATTTCACACTGAACAAAATCAAATTAAGAGCTCTTGGATACAATTAGCATATTCTCAGCATTTTATAGATTTTCTAATTAAAGTCCTCCTTCTAGAAATACAAAAATGATGAAAAATATTTTTAATATTTTCTTCTTTGAGTTTCATCAAATATGATTACTCAATTTTTATATAGACTCTATGAAGCTTTTATGGGCCAGATTGCACTCAGTTTTCTTATGTCAACCTGAATGTCAACCAACTGGATTGCAGCCACTCTGTGCCTCCTTCTCTCTTATGCCTACTATTGCACTAGAATGATAACAACATTTGATGATGTTCCAAATGAGCTGTTTATTGGATTACTAGAAGCAAGCTCGTTGTATGCTCTTGGAGCCTACCTTAGCTCGAGGACTCTTCACAGAGAACTCTCAGCTAATTTCAAGGCCAAGGAGTCGTCAAAAGAGTTCAAAAAATTTTTAAAATGTGTTCCAGAAGGAGTCTCCATTGTAGACCATGAGTTTATGGAACTTAAGTTCTACAATTCCAAACTCAGAGAGGCTTTTGATATTAATCGATACTGTGACTCTGGAGCCGAGCTGGCTGAGTTTAATGACTTAAAATCTAGTATTGATCAGGAGTTTAGTCAAGCTCTTAAAAAGATGGCCAAGAATTCATGTGAAAACTCAGTAGGAAATAAACCTTTCAAATCTTTGATGAAAAAGTTTAAAATTATCAAAGAATCTGACATAGGATCTTTCGAACCCTTGGATGAAGAAGACAAGAATGTTGAAGGTAATAGTCTTTATAATCCTTATAGATCAGCTCGACCAACCATTACTTGAGAAAAAACAAAAGTTAGGATCACCTGAAGATAAAAATTTGTTTGAATTTTTGTATCAAGAAAGAGAGACTCTCAAAAGAGAAAATGCTAAAGAGAAAGAATCAAAAGTTTCACTATATTTCAATGACTTCAATTTTATCGATGGGATAGAGATATCTAAAAGAGAATTCGTCATAAAGACAAGGAGTGTCAGTAGGAATGACACTGATAGTCCAAAATCTTCAATGTATTTGCACATCTTTAGTGATACCACTCAAATCACCCAGCTTGAAGAGCAGAAAGCCCAGAACAGGTACCAGAAACAAATGCTGGCTAATGTGTCCCATGAATTCAGGACTCCATTGAATGCGATGTCTCTGAGTCTGGTGTTATTGAGAAAGAAGATCGGAGGGCCATATGCTAAGCTTTTAAAAATAGCATCCTCGAGTTGCAACATTTTGAATTTTTTGGTTGAAGACATCCTGGATCATGCCAAGATCGAGTCTGGAGTGTTCGAGATTCAACCAGAAGTGTTCAAAGTCAGCAAAATTATTGAAGAAGTTGAAGAAATCTTTGAACTGCAAGCTTTGCAAAAGAGAATTTCACTAAAATTCCATGTAGAAAAGGAAATAGAATGCATTAAAATCGAGACAGACAAACAAAGAATCAAACAGGTGATGATGAATCTGTTATCTAATGCTCTCAAGTTTACTGATAGAGGAGAGATTAAAGTTTTTCTAGAGAGGCTCATTGGAGATCACAAAGATTCTAGCAAGTCAAGAGAGGAGGATAAAGTTGATCATGATGGCAAAGAACTACATTTCATACCTAATAGAATGAATGAAAGTTATAGTGTTGAAATTACACCAAGACCTCAAATCCCGAGAGTAAGCCACTATGAGAGATATCCTGACAATAATGATAAATCAAGCTACAGGGGAGTAATTCAGAACCCTCATATCGACCCATACAGAAAGCTGAAGCTAAAATTAACGGTAGAAGATTCAGGCATCGGAATTCCCTTGAGCGACCAGTCCTCTCTGTTCAAGCTCTTTGGTAAGACCAGCTCCAATCACAACCGCAACAAGACTGGCTGTGGCCTAGGACTGACTATCTGCAGGAAGATCTTACAGAAGTTGGGCGGAGACATTACTTTAGAATCTGAAGAAGGCAAGGGCACCAAGTTTACATGCATATTTGAATGCAAGTACTAAAATATATAAATCTCTTAAGTTTCAACTTACTTAAAATTATTCGGGGTTTTGGGGTTTTGGGGTTTTGGGG